TTAATGTTAGTTGTGAAATATTAATGTTTGAAGTAACAACTATAAACCTAAATAAATAGCTGTTTTGACTTTTAAGCAACGGAGTAGTTTAAAGAGTTATTGATTATTTTTTTAAGTATGACAGACAATCAGATCCATTAAGGTAGCTACTTGCCATATAAAATCAACCAACCAAAGCAACAAAAACGTGCCATCCATATTTTGTCAGGTAGATTAATCTTTCCAAGAACTCTGTTTGCTCTTTCCATCAGCTAAAAATTCAGCTGAAGGCAAAAACTTTTACCAACAATAACAATTGGATCTGTTTCTTTTTCAAAACCATTAATTTCCCTCTCACTCCAGAAGTTACTCCTTTCAAAATTTACTGACTCATAGTACATAATTTCTATTCATTACTATTAAAACTCATATTTATTTACGTAGTCACTGAAACTCTTAGGGTCTTTCTGAGGGATCTAATTAGTTACATTTTTTCAGGTTGAAAAATACGTCGTTATTATTTCCTTCACTATTCTTTTCTGTCAAGCCAATTTTCTGTATTCCCCAACATTTCTGCCAGTTCCATAAGAATCAAGCTTTCATCTGAACCTCTCATGAGCACCACTAGAATTTTCTTCAGGAGGGGGGGGGGGGTAAAGTCAGTAACACATGCAGGCCTAAGTAAGTCACGAGTTGGTAGTAGTCAGGTACACAATCCATGACAAGGTTCTTATCAGAAATGAATTTTCTTCACCCAACAACTCCCCCATCCACTCACAGCTGATGCCATGCCTATTTTGTGGCACTTTATCAAAGGCTTTCTGAAAGTAATAGACAAAAATCACTGTAAATATGGTGTTTTTATCTAAATGTGCAGATTCACCATTATACAATCTCCCTTAAATAGATTTGGCAGTAAAGTTATACATACTTAATCATGTTGATAACTTATTAAATATTAGTTTTCCAAATGCTTTTCACTATGGGCTGTGACAATAGATTTAAATGACATGCTAACAGTTAAATGTAAAGTAATAAGCCTAAAAAAGGCAGTTCTACAAAATAGTGTTTTTAAAGGGTGTGATAAGTGTTGTCCTGGAAATTGTAGACCAGTTAGTCATTCTTCTGTGGGGAAAGAATTCTAGAGAATCTTATAAAACATTTGAAAAATCATTCATTGGAATATTGTAAAAGAAAGATGTATGAATTTACTGAGGGAAAATCTTGACTTGTTAGTATGTTAAATGTTGAGAATGTCATATATTGTCTGGATGATGGAATGGGTGAGGACTTGGTGTTCTTAGATTGTCAAAAAGCTTTTGATAAGATAGCACACAAAAGAATAGCTATGAAAATCACATTTGTAGGGTTTGGGAAAAGATGAGTTTATTGGTTTTATTTGGAAGGTAGAAAGCAAAAAGTTCTTAATGGAATCAAGTCAAACTGTATTCTTATTTACAGTGGAGTGTCTGAAGGAGCCAGTGCTTGGGTCTTTACTTTTGTTTATGTTAATAGGGAATGATCAGACAAGTTTATTGATATTACACTCTGTTGGAGTGTTACAGAATGACTTAGATCAGTTGGTAAGGTGGACAAGTATCTGGCAATTGATCTTTAATTATAGTAAATGCATCATAATACATTTAAATAATCATAATTTGGATGATAGTATATATAGATGAACACCCACTTCATAGCATGATAGAAGAAAAGGATCTTGATAGTGGTGAAAAAGTTACTCAAGCCATCAAAGAAAACAGTGCTCTGTTTTTAGTAGTACAACTAATAGAATTTTAGATGTTTTTATGGACATACTGATTACAAGTCAAAAAAGGTAAATATCTCTATAAAAGTCACTTGTTAGACCTCACCTGGAATATTTTTTTGCAGATTTGGTCTTTTTTATTTAAGACTGGATTCTTACTTATTGGATAGAGTTCAGATGAGGATTATTAGGATGATTCCAGAGTTGGAAGGGTTAAGATCTCTTAACATATTTTTTCTTGAGGAAATAAGGATATGAGGTGTTTTTATTTAAACTTACAAGATGATCTGGAGGAGATTGATAGCATAAAGGCCTTTGACTTCTTTGTATTATATTCTGAATATAATTGGATAAGAGGACACAAGTTTGGTATTTGGAAAAGACAGACTAGTCTCCAGTTAAGACAGTTTTTGTTTTCTTTTGAACAGTATGATTAACTGATGGAATGAATTGTCATTGGCAGTAGTATAGGTCACACCTTACAAGAGTTTAAAGAAGAATCAGTTTCTGAAAAATAAAGGGTATGTTTACCCCACCCCACCCCCCTAAGTGTATGTATGTAGGTACAGCCTTGAAAGATCAAATGTCCCTTGTTATTCATATGGTACGTTAATAAATAGTTGGTAAATATGACAAATTAAAAATACATTTTTAATCAGTTTTGTCAGTTAAGGTGATATGAGATACGACTCGTAAGGTCTAGGTACGCTTTTAAGGAGAGAAGCCAGTCTAATATGGTACTTACAGGTACTAAAGGATGAATATTAAGTAGGATGTACTCACATATTGTTTAGTTCTGAATTTGACTGAAATAGGTTATCAGCAGGGCTTCAAATAAGTGGGTGCATGCGTACCAAAATGTAAAAATGAGGACTGAATGAAATAAACCAATCTCATAAGAATAAGTAATCTACAGTAATGTGATAAAATATTCTTGAAAATATATTAATCAGTGAGGTATTTTAGTAAGAAATAAGAGAAAAGGAAGCTTAATTGGTATAGTAAATAGATTGAACACCCTAAGAAATGAACATTTAAGTATTAAACATGTTTTGTCTAAGTACACTTCTTCCTAATAGAACTTTTCAAAAATGACATTTTTGCATCAATTGTTTTTTTAATTTTAAAGGCAACTTTACAAGAAATTGTTCCTTATTTATATTTTTCAGATATTAACCATTGGAATTATAATACTTTATTTTTTAAATAATGAAAAACATATGACATTAAAAATGAATTCTTTGAAGTATTTCATGAATTTGGATCTAAGTTTTTTTTGGAGTAAAGCCTAAATGGTTACATTTGCACGGCTGTTATGATAGTGACTTTCATTTTTCTAGTGACCAGTACGTTCATGAGCCACACCGAAATTAGAACACGATGTTAAATATACCTCGTTTCACTGGACAAGGATATCGAATCTCTTGTACTGTTTTTCACATCTTTTGCTCTTAAAGAATAATGAAATTGAAGTAGATTGTGTAGGTTTCTTCTCAATTATTTTCATCCAAGACTTTCTTGTACAGCTTCTCCTTAATATTTGCTATTAAAAAGCATTTTTTTACCAATTCTTTTGTAAACGCAAGTTTTCTATACCAGAAAATTGTATAGTTGGCTATTTCAGCTTTTAACTAAAAATATATATCTATAAATAATACTTGTTAAAACTACATATTTTTTATAAATCCCTATTTCATTATTTCTGAAATAATTTTTTAATTTTAACCTGAAAAACAGAAGTTTCTGTATGAAATGGTATGAAAGTCACTTTTTGTTTTCTTTCTCCTAGGTAGGACCTCTAGAAAAACGATTCCCTCTGCAAACAAGATCTAATACGTGTTGAAGAGTGGATCACAATGACTGGTGGTTCCATAAGCATCAAACTGCAGGTTGAGGTCGTCACTGCTCCTGGAGAGTCAGTCTGTGTAACTGGTAACCTGCCGGAACTGGGATGCTGGCAGGTGGCTAAAGTTGTACCTCTTCATCTTCAGAATCCAGAAGCGTAAGAACACTGGATTTAATATGAATTACTGCTTTAGTAGTTTTTAGAATATTAGGAACATGTATATTTTTGTATCGGATCTTCCAGAATTCAATTCTCAAGTTACAACTGAGTGTGTTTATGGTACCTAAAGCTTACTGCACAAATTTGTTAGATTACATATCAAAATTCTACAAGATATTTAGTTTTGAAAAATTTTCTGAGAGAAGCTAGTATTTTTTTTTTGTTATTATACATATGCCATCTATATTAGGATTATTTAAAACTTAAACTTTATAATCCATAAATATATATCGTTGTCCCTTTTATAAGCCCGGCATGGCCAGGTGGTTAGGGGACTCAACTTGCAATCTGCAGGTCACGGGTTCGAATTCCCTCCCATCAAACATGCTTGCCCTTTCAGCTCTGAGGACATTATAATGTTCCAGTAAATCCCACTATTCATTGGTAAAAGAGTAGCCCTAGAGTTGGCAGTGGGTGATGATGACTAGTTGCCTTCCCTCTAATCTTTAACTGTTAAATTAGGGATGGCTATTGCAGATAGCCTTTGTGTAGCTTTGTGCAAAATTCAAACCAAAGAAACAAACACTTTTATATTACAAATAAGACTGAAAATTATTTTGTCTTACAGTGTGTTTTTTTCAAATGTGCTTACATACACTTTTTTTTGTTAAGATATATTATGTAATGTGTCTGTTACTCTTCATCTCTAAGTAAGAATAACAATGTGGATAAATATTTATATGTATAATGTAAAATACACCAGCTCACTGAAATTTGCAAAGGATTGTATTAATACTATTGTTAATGAAAAAATAAAAAGATTTTGGGTTGAATATAAAAAAATGCTTAGTCTCCTTCTCTTTTATTTTAATAGTTTCTTTTTTATGACTAGTACTTTTTTTGTCCAGAAATATTTGGTCTGGAGTGATACATGTTCCCGGTGATCAAACCATGGAATTTCGTTATCTCGTAGCCATACTCCTCGAACCGACAATAGAAACTCCAGAGACTAAAGTGATCGTTAGACGCTGGGAGACAAATATACACCCAAGGACTTTGAACCTTGTTAATGATCTTGAACTCGTTAACAATTTGCCAGTGGATGTGTTTGGTTGTTATGGTAAGACAGAAAAACAACAGAATTTTGTTACATTCCACAATGATGTAATCTCTAGCTGAAAGAAAGATTTATTACATAATACATATATTTATTTACATTTATTGTTTCTCTGTTTATCATATTGATCTACTTTATTTTTCTGAAACTGTAGAAATGTCATAATTGTTATCTCTCTTTAGATCACAGTGTTGATTGTTCTTATGAAATATTGTAACAAAAGTAATATACAAATACATGTATGTTCATGTGAATCAGCAGTATACAGCAAACTTGACTTTCTTCAGGGCTCCTGAAAAGGAAAAACAAATGCTTTGTTTTTGAAAGAGTAATATATTACTACATCACTTGTATAAATATTTTTATATTGTTTGATGCATTTTAAAAAAATGTATGTTGATTACGTGTCTGACTGCTAATTAGTATTTAATTCCTCTTGACATGCCAGATTAGGTTTGCATAACATGGATATTTTTATAAACATACCCTTTCTTTTTACTTTTCCAAATTTCATGATATTTCATAAAAGTGGCTAATATGGCCTCTTTTCTATAATTAATATCAACTTGTAATCAATACCAGCTACCTAAATAGATCAGAACTAAAATTATTAATAGGTATAATTAGTAAAATATACTGTTTAAACTATATTTCATATGATTAGGATACATTGTTTTATTAGCGTTAAGTATCCTCCCTGTTAATATTTTCAGTTGTAAGTAATTTCTCACAAGGTTCAGCCAGGTTACTCAGTTGTAAGTAATTTCTCACAAGGTTCAGCCAGGTTACTCCTTCATTTGTACATTTTCATCCAGTATCCTCCCTGTTAATATTTTCAGTTGTAAGTAATTTCTCACAAGGTTCAGCCAGGTTACTCCTTCATTTGTACATTTTCATCCAGTATCCTCCCTGTTAATATTTTCAGTTGTAAGTAATTTCTCACAAGGTTCAGCCAGGTT